TGTCCACCAGCCAGGTGATGCATACTTCCTATAAAAGGAAGTTTCCATGGACCTGGAGGCAATTTTTTGGTTTGGCTATTTTTTGAGTACTTTTTCCATTTCCTTAACAAAAAGAGGAAACATATGAAAAGAAAAATGGAAATCAATTGCATTTTGGGATATTTGATTATTCAAACCTCAATTGAGTGTCCTATTTTATAAGCTTCTGGTTTGGCACCAAGTGGGATATGCAACAACCTAGTGGCATATTTTGGTTATAATTTTTATAAATAATATTTGATTTTTTGAATGTTTTTTTTCTAAAGAAACATGAAACACGATTTAAATTTAAAATACAATTTAAATAGGAATATATATATATATATACAAAAAGTTTTGAAAAAGAAAAATATAGTGAAAACAAAATTTTGGGTGTTCTTCAAATATAATCTCAAATTGTATTTGTAAATTTCATGGTTAAATAATGATTTTCAAATAAAGTGAAAAAGAATCTGAGTAAAAGTGAAAAAAATTCCTGGCTAAATTCCAATTTTCTAAATATTATGATTTTTAAAAAAAAAATATAAATTTGACTCATAAATTTATATTTTATAAAAAAAATCCATTTTAAATTTTATAAGGAAAAAACTCATGTTCAACATAAAGAAATACTCGTACCATATGAAAAGAATACATAGTTAGTTACTAGAATTGTTGACTAGTACCATTGGCTGTTATGAATTAGAGACAAGAGTGAAATATTGCCTTTTTTAGAATTAAACAAAAGACGCTAGGCAAGTAGGCATTTGCTGACAAGTACAAAAACAAATGATGAATCTTCTTTTAAGTCATATTCAACATTTATTTCATCCACTTATGACAGCCAATGCCTAATTTGTGGAGTAGTTACCATGCATATTAAGAATTGGAGGAAGTTTGATAGTTTTCACAAAGATTTTTATGTTTAAAAAGAGAAATATAACTTGTACGTTCAAATAAAATGTCAACTTAAAATTAATCTGATTTTAATATCATGATTTCATATAACATATCCAGACAGGGTATCATAACATAAATGCAATTTTTACAATTTTTGAGTTCTTTTCTTTTAACAAACAAAAAAATAGAGGCTATCCCAATAAAGAGTTATTTTAAGTCTTATTATCCCAATTTGAAATAAAATTGTATTCCATTCATTTGGGTCTCTGTTTAACAACCACCTTTTGTTTTAATTTGCTCTTGAATTTTAAATTTAATTCATTATATCTCCATGTGCTCAAGGACTCACAATCTTACTAACTTCCAACTATTTCCTTGTTAGTGATGTGATATGTGAACAACTTTTTTGCACCAATGGCCAAAAATCCAAAAAGTGTATCCAACCCTCCAAAACAATTCAAATTTAAATTCAACTCCTGAGTTTATAAAATTACATTTTAACTCCTTTTCCCTTTTAAATACCTCTTAGCTTTCTTCATTTTTTACTACTCCTTCTGTTCAATTTTATATTACTTACTTTTCTTTTTAATTGATAAAAAAAAAAAACACATTTCAACTGTCACGCCCCGAACCTACTGGAACTACTCCTAACTCATCTTGAGCTAGGAGTTATGACTGCTCAAAATTGGCCAAAACTCACTGATTTCCCACATTTAACCAAATTTCCAGATTTTGAATTTTATTCCAAAAATGACTATTTCCAATTTCAAGCTTTTTCATAGTTATTTCAACTTACCGGATGTTACATCTACTGTATCGATTGTAAAGTGGATGCATCTCAAAGTAAAAATGTCAATATTGATCGTGTACCGATTGTGAAGTGGATTGAGTCTGAAGTTTTGCGAATGAACACCATAGAGAAAATTTGAAAGACCGAGGATCAAATCTTGATTTTTACCAATATATAGTGCAAAAAAAATAAAATAGAAAGATGTTAGGAAAATCAATGAGATCATAAGAGTGAAAACCAGAAAATGTACATGTGTGTTCCATGTTAGATGTGTAATCAATTAATTGTCTGAAATGATTGTAGCAATTTACTACCTTTGTCGGGGGCAGATCCACCCTATGTCATGGGGTGCTGACCGGCATTGTTTCGTTGAAAATTTTTAGTATTATATATATATATATATATATATATATATATAAAAGGGAAAAAATAAAAATTTCCTTACAAATAACATTAATGACATTACCTGAACAATTGAGCCTCTTGGCTCGTTGGTTTGCAGCGTGAAATGAATGGTTATTCACCTGGCGTGGCCCAAGACTGAGCCATAGTGAGGCCGAATTGTCTTTTATTTTTGAGACATTTTCAGATTTTTTTTTAATATTATAGGGATTTGAACCTCCAACCTCCTATTTATAGTCAAATTAAGCTAAAATAATCCAATTGCACTAGAATATTTAGTACTTAATATTATCTCCAATGAGTCTATTATAAATACATTTCAAAATATGAAAACTCGTCGAGGAAAGTTTAGTAGCTTATTTGACTTACATTTTATTAGTACGTTTTAAATGGTTTTTATTAATATAATATTATTATATCAATTATTTATTATTTATTATTTATTAATTTTTAAATATCGACACTGCTTACGAAAAATTATGCGTACACCATTGTACCTTTGTTGGCACCATTGATAGTAGTGATTGTGTTAATCTCATAAAGCTATTTTGATGTGTTTCACAAGAATCTCTTATGGTAACTAATTGGTTCTTAATGTTACTTGTAGTAAGGGTGGCAAAATCAAATTCAACCCGACCGATATATTTAGGTTTGGTTGGTTATTGACCCGCTCATTTGTTAGTTCAACTCATTTCAAAATTCAACCCATTAAAAACTGGGTTGATAGGTAACCTAAATTGATTTTTGAGAAATCTTGTCAAAATATTTTTAATTTTTTTTGTATGTTATATTTAGTTATAATAAAGTAAACAAAAAATTATTAAGTACTAAAAGTTAATAAAATAACAAATAAAACTATTAAAACTTAGTAAAATTTGGGCGGGTTGGGTTATGACCCGTTAGCAGGGCCGTAGCTAGAGCTATCCCAGAGTGTCCAACTGGACACCCTTTGTGCGAAAATTATGTTGTATATATATGCTAAATTCTACATTTAAAGTATATATTTATAAAGTTGGACACTGATGACAAAAGCTATGCCTTTGGTATAGTGATAATATGTGTCTATTTGAATGAAGAAGTTTCGGGTTTGATGCCCAAATAACACAATTTATTTGTTTTATTTTGACAGTCACACACCATTATTCTTAGATATCCTTAATAAAATTGTTTGTTAATAATCTGTTACCTAACCCATTTTGACCAGCCCAAATTTAACCCAACTCGCCCAATTACCACCCCTACTTGTAGCTAGGATTGGCGCCATGTCTTTCTCTTTACTGAGGATACTGTCACGAATCTCTGGACTGAAAGTACCGGTGAGAGTAATTGCACTATCGACATTTTTATGCAACATCACTTATCATTCATTGTATTTGATGTTATTTGTACATGGGGCTTGTCCACTCCACTTTTCTTTCCCCGTAGGCTGCAACCCCCTAAGTTGTGCGGTCTCTTCACTTTCGATGTTGCATTCATCTCGGATTATCTAATAATACACTACTTTTAGAAAAGCTGACCCGCATCGATTGACATTTTTTTAAGAATCCGAATAATATAGACATCCTCCACTTGCTTCCCTAAAGGAGTAGGAGGACAAATTGTGGAATGTTGGTTAGTGGAACTGTGGAAGAGAGAGTTACTTATGAATCTTGATTGGCTTCTCCAAATCTTCAATATTGCGAAAGAATGTATTTTGTTCCAACACAAAATCTACTGTGCAGAAATGGGGACCATATTCACCATCAAAGGTGGAACTAGGTGGGGGTTCGTGGATTCAGACGAATCAATAGTTTTTTCCGTAGACCTTGGATTTGTACTAAAAAATTAATAAATATATGTATATTAACTTATGAATCTCTAACGAAATTGATTGATGGTTCAATGGTAAGGAAGTGGTAAGGAAGAAACTGTGGAAATGCTTTACATGTTAGAGTTGTCGGTTCGAACCCCCCTCTTTTGGAAAAAAAAGAAGGAAATTTAGAGCCTCCAAACTCATAATGTGATCGGTTTCTAGCCCAAATACCCTGATTCGGGATGAGGAGTCATGTTCTTGTACTTATCTGTTAGAGGCCCCAAACTCTTAATGTGATCGGTAGCTGGCCCAAATACCCCTGATTCGGGATGAAGTGATGTTCTTGTACTTATCTGATTGTGCCTCGATTACTTCATCACGTACCCCCAACGACACACCTCTGGATTCTTCGCGCCATTTTCAACGAAAATACAAAAATTAAGGAAGACAATGCAAAAGTTAACCTTAAAGAACGAAAAATGCTTTGTAAAATCTGTTTCTCCTCCACTATAATTAGTTTTATCACCTTCCAACAATTTGTTAATGTTGGATAAATTGAATATATATATATGTTAGGGTACGATGATGAAAAATGACAATAAACAAAAAGGTAACCAACAGTGTGCTGTCAACAACTGAAGCAGAGTATCGGGCAGCAACAGTTGCAGCTCAATAAAGTACGTGGCTTATGCAGTTGATGCAGGATTTACAGCAACCAGTTGGGTACTCAGTTACCTTGTATTGTGACAATCAATCAGCGATTTGCTTGGCTGAAAATCTTGTTTCTGCAAGGACTAAGCACTTGCAAATACATTACAAATCACATTTTACTATATCTAGAATCCTACAAATCACTGAAAAATTTGTGATCATTGTTAGAGTGCTGCACTGAAGACACTTTCTTGATCACATATTCCCACGAGATATAATTTCTTACAAATCTGATTCAAATACATAACAAACAATCCTCAGCTCCCATCCTCCTCTTGCCTTCTTTTATTTGTCAATTTATACCCAAAATTAACAGAAATTCTACCCCTTTTGAATTGTTACAAAAAATGTTATTCGACAGACCAGACATGAGGCTAACTGTCACGCGGATACAATCTTATTTGATTAAAAGACAAGAAATAAGATGACAAAGGAAAATTTAAAAAGTTGATGCCATTAAGGTTGATGAGGAGTGGCAATTAAGTAAAGATCACCCTTTCTAGCAGCAGTAATTCCAGCCGATTCAGTCAAGTCCAAGTCTTTTGGCTCCATTCCAGTAGGGAGCTTCCAATCAAAGTGATAAAGCAATTGAGCCAACGGCAAATAAACATTAGCCAAACCAAATGATATCCCGGGACAAATCCTTCTCCCTCCACCAAACGGAAGATACTCAAAATTGTTACCAATAAAGTCTATAGAGCACTGCTCAAATCTCTCTGGCTTAAAGCTTTCTGCATCATCCCAATATTTCGGATCTCTTCCCAATGCCCAAACATTAACCATGACTTTGGTCTTCACGGGGATAGTGTATCCATTTATTTCAGTTTCTTCCCTACATTCTCTTGGGACCAAAAGTGGAACTGGAGCATGAAGTCTCATTGTTTCTTTAATGACTAACTTTAAGTATTTCAGCTCTTCCACATCAATTTCATCCAACGTTACTTTGTCTCTAAAGGCTTCTCGCACTTCTGCTTGAGCTTTGGCGAATACACTTGGATTTTTCAACATTTCAGCCATAGCCCATACAGTTGTTGTTGATGAAGTCTCTGTTCCAGCAGCAAACAAGTCCTGCAATTAATGGCCAAGTTATAATAGTAAATTAAATAAGTAAGAATAAGCATAGTATATATTGAATACTTACAATAATAACAGCTTTGATATTGTCGTTGTTGATTGGAAATTGAAGACTTTTATCATTCATAAGTCTTAGAAGGACATCAACTAGATCTTCACCACCTATTGCATCGTCACTTTTGCGAGTTGCAAGGTTCTTCTTGTGCTCTTTGATGACATCCTCAACAATTGAATCTACCTTACGATGGGCATTTAGAAGTTTTTGCTTCGCTCCACCAAAACCATGAAGAAATTTGTATGAAGGGAAGATGTCAGCCACATCAAATCCCTCTGCTAAGCTTATTACTTCTCTAATTAACTTTATAAATACTTCTTGCTCCTTTAGTACTTGCCCAAATGCTGATCTACATGTCATGGAACTGGTGAACCAAATGATCCTTTCCGTAAAATTAACCAGCTCACCAGAAGTAAAACGTAGCTGGATAGAGTCAATGAGACGAACAACATCATCATGCCTGATGGAGCTGAATGACCGGACATTCTTTGCACTCAATACTTCCATGATACAAATTTTACGCATTTGTCTCCAGTACTCACCTATTAGAATAGAAATCATCAGAACTTGTACGACAATAGATAAGACAATGAGAAAAAACATATCAAATGTAACCCTCACACTCACCGTAGGGGCTAAAGGCGATGTCGCGTCTATTATAACAAATAATGTCCATGGCCAAGAGTTTAGGCCTAGATGCAAAAGCAATGTCATGAGTTTTTAATACCTGTTTTGCCATTTCAGGAGATGTAACCACAACTGCAGAAACTTCACCAAGTTGAAGGTGCATAAGTGGTCCATATTTTTCGGCTAAATCTCTAAGAACGCGGTGTGGAAGTCCACCAGCCAGGTGATGCATACTTCCTATAAAAGGAAGTTTCCATGGACCTGGAGGCAATTTTTTGGTTTGGCTATTGTTTAAGTACTTTTTCCATTTCCTCAACAAAAAGAGGAAAGATATGAAAAGGAAAATGGAAACCAATTGCATTTTGGGATATTGATTCTTCAAACCTCAATTGAAGTGTGTTGTTTTATAAGCTTCAAAGTGGTAAATGTTCACTATTTCTTCTGTCTCAATTTATATGACATACTTTAAATTTTGATAGTCAAACTTTTCAATTTTAATCGTAAATTCAGACATGGAAACATATTATTAATCACAATAATTGACAATTTAAACCTATGAAAAAAAATCAAAACATAGATAAATTCTCTAGACTCTCAAAATTTGAAAGGTGCCATGTCATTATTGATCATTTTTAGGAGTCAAATAAATTCAGCTTATCTGAAGAATAAACAAATAATAATATTTGTGGACTAATTCCCAATAATAAAGCATGGCGCAGACGACTCTTAACTTATTATAATAATTGCTTCGTCTTTTTGTATAGCAATTTTGACTGATATAGAACATATCTAGATACCGGCAAAATTGAAAAAAATGTTATTTTGATTCCACTTTAATTTAATTAGTGTATAATTTTTTTGAAATTGTGAGACCCGTTTTATGTATGTTTTTTACTTTTAAATTCATATCCTTTAATTATAGCTTTATTATTTTGAATATGTTGATATTTGTGTAAATTTATAACTACTTTGAGTAAAAAATCGATGATTCGTGAAGAAAAATATTTCAATTATAGATATCCCAATGGCCGCCCTCACATTAGGTTTTCATGTAAAAAGAATAAGATGATTTATTTCACGCAAATAGATATATAATTTATTTTAGAGCAAAAATTTAAAACTATTCGATCAACACCACTTAATGATATTTATCAAGTATTCATTTTACACTCAATGAGATTACTTAGTGCATCTCCAACCTTATACTCTATTTTACTCTCCAACTGCTCTTCTTGTTGCTCAAGGAATTGTTGCGTTGGATACCCAGTGAACTAACCCACCGATTGCTCAGAGTTGTTTTCCATGAAATTTTGGACGATGGGCGATATGTTAGTCTATTGTTGTTAGAAGTGTTGGTGAGAGTGGACAATATGGTATTGGAGAATCAATTCCTAGTAACCAGATAGCAAAAGACAAACCATCAACTTACCCGAAGTTAAAAATAAAAGTTCCAAGCATAGGACTGGTTGGAATTCTCTTGTTGAGCCTCAATATAAGCTGTCTTTTGAACTTGGTGACAACTTAATTAGAGCTTCTTTTTGCCATGATAGTGGCATGAGAGGCTGCTAGCTCAGGTATAAGGTCTTACAAGTATCACAAAATTAATGTATGAAAGTTCAATATGATGACATCCAAGATTGTGATTGTCTTGGAAAGGTTGAGGTACCTTAACCACTACAACTATAACTTAAGTTTATATACTATAACTTATGATCTACTTACATATATTGACTTGACCGCTCTCCCTTCACCCGGTCTCCTCATTACCTTTGCTTGGTTTATAGGAATGGATTCCTTTCTACAGAGTTGTAGGCTTTATAGACTGGGCATGACATGCACCTGACACCTTACAGTTTGGCCTCAACTTCTGGAGGATTATTTTGACTATTCTTTTGAATTATGAGCTGCAGTGGATGCTTGGTGGTTTGACGGGTGGTGGTAAGGTGTTGTTGCTGGATTTGATGTCTATGGAAGCGGTTATCTTCAGGTTTACTTCACTGGTATGAAATAGCAGTCCCAAGAAAACTAAAATGTTAAAATAGAAATAAAAAACAAGGAATAAAAGGAGAATTTTTGCTTATCGGTTGATGCATAGCAACATTGCGTTAGAATAGCTCAACAGCCAATGGATGTAAAATTGGAGTCCCTAATTATATTAAATTCTTACATGAAATTATATATCTAATCTCAACATTGACATAAATTGGTTTTCTAACTCAACAGTGGAAAATGTTTTAAATAGTAGGCTTTTGCCTAATTTATTGTCCAGAATTTTGAATGTTCGATGTTGGTCATGGCCCTGATGCCCAAATGTGTTTTTCTCTCTCAATAATAGGTGAGAAGATATTTTTGGAGATACAAAGGAAGAACGTGAGGACTTCAAGAGATTGGGTAGATGAAATATGGTTTGAAGTTAAGGGAAAGAAAGACCTAAAGTCGTTCATAAGCTCGAGTTTAACTTATGTATCCAAGTACAGTATCAAAGAACGGGGGAACTACAAAAATCAGATAGCTCACAAGCTTGTCACATTGATGTTACTAGGTCTTAAGATCTTAAGCTAGGTCAAAGGTACAACTATAAAGGGACCTAGTTCCATTAATGATACAACATTGGGAATCACTTGATTTTTGCAATTCCCGATTCTTTGAAACTACACTTGGATACATAAGTTAAACTCGAGCTTATGAATGACTTTATGTCTTTCTTTCCCTCAACTTCAAACCCATTTTTCATCTACACCAATATCTTCACGCCCTCACATTCTTCCATTGAATCTCCAATAATATGTTCTCCCCTATTATTGAGAAAAAAGTACCTTGAGTCATTAGTCCATAACCAACATCGGACACTCAAAATTCCGGACAACACACTAGCTAGAAGCTAGCCCTACCGTTTAAAACTTTTTCCATTGCTGAGTTATAAAGCCAATATATGACAATACTGAGCTTAGACATATGATTTCAGGTAGAATTGGGAATTGTTAGAGACTACTTTTACATCCATTGGTTGTTGAGTTATCCTTATGCGAAGTTGCAATGCATCAATCGATAAATAATAATTCCCTTTTTATTCTTATTTTCTATTCTTTTTTAGTTTTTCAGTTTTTTGGGACTATTATTTCTTACTAGAGAAGCAAACCTGAAGATTAGCGCTTCCACAAACATCAAATCCAACAACAACACCTTCCCATCATCCGTCAGATCACCAAGCATCAACTACAACTTCTATTCTAAAGAATACTCAGAATAATCCTCCAAAGGCTGGGTCTGAACTGTGATGTGTCCTATGCATCTCATGCCCAATTTATCACATCCTCCAACTCAGTAAGAAGGAATCCATTCCTATAAATCAAACAAAGGTGATGAAGAAACATGGTGAAGGTAGAATGGACAAGTTAATATATGCAAGTAGATCATATGTTATAGTATACAAACTTAAGTTATAGTCACAATTGTTAAGGTAGCTCGAGCTATTAAGGACCATCACAATCCTAGATGACATCATATTGAACTTTCAGATATTTTTGTGATACATGTATAACCTTTTACTTGAACCAACAACCTTTCATGCCACTATCGTGGCAAAGAACCACTAAGTTGTCATCAACTTCAAAACACAAAATATAATAAGGCTTAACAATTTGCAAGGTACTAAGTAACGGTCTTACAACAACATGATAATCGGATTTGGAATATACTAACAACTAAATCACAAAAGTTTCTAAAGTTCAAGAAACCTTAGGTCTAGATAATATGGAGGGAATGGAGAATCTGACTGAATTTTATGGACCTAGTGGATGAAAGGAACCCACTAGTGATATCCCGCACTTGGTGATGAATTCCATGGAGAAATCTTTTGATTTCGAGGCTGGAACTGAAGAAAAGTCTATGCGTTCTTAGAGAGGGTTTGGTCGACTGTTTCTTCTCCTTTTGCTTTGGTTTGATCAATTTTAGGTGAATGAATAGCTTAGAGTAAGTTCTGATTAAGTTACTAGGTTAAAACTGACCAAAACTATGTAGTTTAGGGGTCCAACACATAGGGGAAAAGACCAAAACGATCCCAACTTAAAAGTTGTCGAGGCCAACGACTGGCCAGACCGACAGGCTAGACCGACGGACTGCGGACAGATTGACGGTCCGTCCTGGCAGGACGTCAGTTGGCTTCAGAGAACTGCTAACTGGGGGTCTGAACCACAACCCTGGACCACAGACCGTGGTCCCACTTACGGTCCGTAGGTCCCGACATGGCTTTGGACCTTTTTTTCTAGAAAACTGGGTGGAGCTGAGGTGGCCAACCACGGACCCTTCCTATGGTCCGTGGGTGAGACCACAGGTCGTGGGTAGGTCTCGTCGATGGCACCTGCAAGTTCTGAAATTCTGCAGACTTGGTAGTTTTCGAATACGGGGTGTTACATTATCTCCTCCTTGGGATCATTCGTCCTCAAATGAAGTCTAAACTAGCTGAGTATGGAGGGAAAGAGATGCAAACCTTACCACTAGGTACTAGAAACTGAAATCTGACTGAACTAAGTTCCAACATGCAAATACGCTGAAAATGCAAGTATAATTGAAGGAACATGATACTAAGGCTGAATTCATGCAAAAGTAAATCGAGAGATTGGAGAGGAACTATTACCTCAAGCTGGAATGGAATCAGAAGGAAAGAGATGAGGGTACTTGGCCTTCATGGCTACTTCTACTTCTCAAGTAGCTCCCTCAACGAACTAACTCCTCTACAAAACCTTAACTGAAACGATTTCTTTGTTTCTCAACCTTCGAACCTGACGATCAAGAATTTCAACTGGTACCTCTTCATAAGTGAGACTATCCTTCACAGCCATACTCTCTAGTGGTACTATAGATGTTGGATCACCCATACACTTTTTCAACAAGGAAATGTGAAAGACTGGATGGACTGCTGCTAGTTCTGTTGGCAGCTCTAACTCATAAGACACTTTACCAACCCTTTTCAAGATTTTGTAAGGACCTACATATCTGGGACTGAGCTTCCCATTCTTGCCAAATCTCATCACTCCCTTCATAGGTGACACTTTCAAGAAAACCCAATCATCGATTTGGAACTCCAAGTCCCTTCTCCTTACATCTGTATAGGACTTCTGGCGACTCTGGGATGTCTTAAGTCTATCTCCGATGAGCTGAACTTTTTCCATAGCCTCATGAACTAAATCTAGCCCTATTAAGGCTGCTTCACCTACCTCAAACCAACCAACTGGAGATCTACATCTACGCCCATACAATGCCTCTCATAAGGGGCCATCTGAATACTTGAAGGGTAGTTATTATTGTAGGCGAACTCTATAAGAGAAAGGTGATCATCCCAACTACCCTTGAAATTGATCACACAAGCTCTCAACATGTCCTCTAAATTCTGAATGGTATGCTCTGCCTGTCCATCCGTCTGTGGATGAAATGATGTGATAAGATTAACCTGGGTACTAAGACCTTTGTGAAACGACTTCCAGAAATGATAGGTAAACTGAGGACCTCTATATGATATGATAGACAAAGAAACTCCATGCAACTTGACTATCTCATTAATGTAAAGCTTGGTGTAGTCCTCCGTCGAATCTGTAGTCTTGACAGCCAAAAAATAGGTGGACTTAGTAACTCTGTCTACTATTACCCAAATTGAATCATGTTATCTGCAGGTAAAAGGTAAACTTGTAATGAAGTCCATGTTGATCACTTCCCACTTCCATGTAGGAATGTTAATCTCTTGAGTCATACCTCCTGGTTTCTGATGTTCTACCTTCACCTGTTGACAATTAGGGCACTTAATCACAAAATCTACTATATCCCTTTTCATACCATTCCACCAAAAGACATCCGCCAGATCATGGTACATCTTAGTGGCACCTAGATGAATAGAATACCTAGAGTTATGGGCTTCTATAAGGAACTACTGTCTCAACTCACCTATCTTAGGAACACATAAACGACCCTGGTAGCGAAACATAACATCTCCCCTTTGGGAGAAAACCTCAACTTTTTGTTTATGAACTTCACCTTTCAATTGAAGCAATATAGGATCACTATCTTGCTTTTCCTTAACCTCCGCTACCAATAAAGATTCTGACCCATTCTGAACTATCACTCCACCATCTGACGAGTCTGTAATACCAACTCCTAGGCGAGCAAGGCAGTGAACATCTTTCACTAATTCTCTCCTTTCTTCCTCAACATGTGCTACACTACCTATAAATAATCTGCTAAGAGCATCAACTATTACATTGGCCTTACCAGGATGGTAAAACACATTCATATCATAGTCCTTGAGGAATTCAAGTCATCTCCTCTAGCGAAGATTCAACTCTTTCTTGGTGAACACTTACTGAAGGCTCTTATGGTCTGTGAACACATCTACGTGCACACCATACAAGTAATTTCTCTAAATCTTTAGGGCAAATACTATAGCTGCCAGCTCGAGGTCATGAGTCAGATAGTTCTTCTCATGCACCTTAAGCTGTCTCGAAGCATAAGCTATGACTTTACCTCGCTGCATCAACACACAACCCCGGCTGACTCTGGATGCATCACAATAGATCACATAACCATCTGAACCATCTGGTAGAGTCAAAATCGGAGCTGTAGTAAACCTGGTTTTCAATTCTGCAAAGCTCTTCTCACACTAATCTAACCACTGGAACTTAACCTTTTTCTGAGTTAACTTAGTCAATGGCGAAGCTATGGATGAAAATCCTTCAAAAAATATCCTATAATAACCAGCCAAATCCAAGTAACTTCTGATATTTGTAGGAGAGGTGGGTCTGGGCAATTGCTTCACTGCCTTTATTTTTTGATAATCCACTTGGATCCCTTCGCTAGATACTATATGCCCAAGGAAAGCAACTGATTGTAACCAAAACTCACATTTGCTAAATTTAGCGAATAACTGGTGATCCTTGAGAGTTTATAGGACAACCCTCAAATGAGTCGCATATTCTTCCTCATTCTTAGAGTAAATGAGGATATCATTAATAAAGACGATAACGAACAAGTCCAAATACTGCTTGAACACCCTGTTCATCAAATCCATGAAAGTTGCAAGAGCATTGGTTATTCCAAAAGATATGACTACAAATTCATAATGACCATATCGAGTTTTGAAGGATGTTTTCGAGACGTCACTATCTCTGACTCTGAGCTGATGATAACCGAATCTGAGGTCTATTTTCGAAAAGTGACTAGCACCCTGAAGTTGGTCGAACAAGTATCAATCCTGGGGATAGGGTACTTATTCTTGATTGTGACTTTGTTCAACTGCCGATAGCCAATGCACATCCTGAAAGAACCATCTTTCTTTTTCACGAACAACACTGGCGCACCCCATCGGGAAATACTAGGTCTAATGAAACCATTATCCAGCCAGTCATTCAACTTATTTTTCAATTCCTTAATCTCTATTGGAGCCATTCTGTAAGGAGGACTCAAAACAGGCTGCGTATCAGGAAGGAGATCAATTTCAAAGTCTATTTCCCTTTTGGGAGGAATTCTGGGAAGATCTTCTGGAAATACTTCAGGAAAACTCATTTACTACTGGAACTGACTCAAGAGTTAGGGTTTTGGAGTTAGAATCCTTAACCCGAACAAGATGATAGCTATACCCCTTGGAATTAATCTTTCTGGCCTTAAGGTAAGAAATGAATCGACCCATAGACACTGAGCTACTACCCTTCCATTCTAAGACTGGTTTGTTTGGAAACTGAAACCGAACAACCCTGGTTCTACAATCGACTGATGCATAACAGGAATATAACCAGTCTATGCCTAGAATGGTATCAAAGTCTACCATTTCTAACTCTACAAGATATGTTGAGGTGACTTTCTGAGAGACTGTAACAGGGCAATTTATGTATACCCGTCTAACTATAACTGGATCACCTATTGGAGTAGAGACTGAGAAGCGTTCTGAAAGAGTTTCTGGACTAACACCGAAGTTGACTGTTATATATGGAGTTACAAAGAAATTAGTAGCCCCTGGATCTAACAATGCATAAACATTTAAGTGAAAGACTCACAATGTACCAGTGACCACATCAGGAGAGTCTTCCTGATCCTGGCGAGCCTGAAGAGCATATAACTTGTTTTGGCGCTGACCGCCACCTGTACCATATAAAGTACCCTGTTGAGTTGGGCGACCTGCTGGTGTTGCTGAAGCTATTGACGCAGACCTATTGTTATTGCCTCTTTGTCCCTATTTGGCAAAAGGGCAATCCCTTAACCTTTGGCCAGACTAACCACTTCCAAAACACCCTTCTTTCCCTGCAAGACACTCGCCCGGATGGTTCTTACCACATTTTGGACAAGTTGGTTAGGTCTTGCTACTTGAAGCACTCCCATGAGACGTAGAGCCTGATGCCCTACCCTTCTGATTCTGTCTAAACCTGGGGGGTGGAGCACTAGCTTTTGAAGGCGCTGTAGTTGAAGATTTCTGATGATACTACAAGCGATTTCCACCACCCAATTTCTATTGAGAGTGCACATAGTTGTATGTCCTAGCCTTTTTGTTGTCCTTGGCCATTTCCCTAAGCTTATCTCCCTCAACCTACTAGGCATGAGTCATGAGCCTCGAGATATTCATCTCATCTAACAACGTAGCATTTGTGCACTCTGTTTTCACTAAGTCAGACACTCCATACAGAAACTTACTCATCTGGCCCTCGAATCAACAACCATATGAGGAGCATACCTAGAGAGTTGGGTGAACTTCAGCCCATACTCTTGGACTGACATGGAACCTTGCCTCAAATTCATAAATTCCTGAGCTTTAGCCTTTGTTAACTGCCTTGGGAGAAGAACCTGTCTAGAAAAGCTCCAATAAAACACTCTCAAGTTATAGGAGCTGTATCTGTACCCCTATTTTCTTTCCACTAAGTAAACCAAATGTGAGCTACATCCTTAACCTGGTAGGATGCCAACCCTACCCTATCATTGCTAGTTACTTGCATCACTCCAATGTTTTTCTTGACCTCGTCAATGAAATTCTATAGGTTTTCACCAACCTGCGACCCTAGAAACTCTGGCTGATTCATTCAAACAAAATCTCAAACCCTGGCTACCACTGATCCACCATTAGTATTAGTAAAAACTAGGACCTGCTGATTGTTCTTGTTAGTCCACTCTGAGCCAAAAGCTGAATCGCACTCCGAAACTCTGCATTTGAAATCTCCTGATTTGGGACTAGACGAGCTGCGTTAGCATTTATTGTGTTAGCTCTATGAGGAGGCATGATCTGAAATGCATAACGACGAGTTATAAGTAGATCATACCCGCGCACGATAAGAATAGCAAGAAAGTCCTATAACACTTTGTAGCCTCCCTCTCATTAGATATGGTGCACTTCACACCCATGAAAATGACCCTACGTAGTGCAACTTTTCAAACTTCCTAGGACTCTTAAACCTAATGCTTTGATACCAAGTTTGTCACGCCCCGAGGCTACACCCTTGAAGTAAACACGGGACCTAGGATAACGAATGACCCCAAGCTAACTCTGAGTTGCCATATCATAAGCATATTGAATATATCTACAAAAGTTAAACTGATGCGGAAGCTAAATCATGATATACTAATAGTGGGGAATACCCAAACTGAATGTATAAAAGATGCTTATGGGTTCTATAACAACTGAATGATCAAACTCAATACTAAAGTTGAAACTAAACTACGTCTAAATAAGCCTCTAACTGACTAAAACTGCTGGGACATGTCCCCAGCTAACTCTAGCAAATATTGAAAACTAAAAGGGAACACTAAATGTAAAAGAACATGACTATCGTCATTGAAGTATGAGGACTCACCACTAAAGTTGCTGAACTGGAGATCGGGAACCAATCTAAACGTGATCTGAATGCTGAGTACCTAACCTACATCATAAAAAGATGTAGCACCGAGTATGTATCAGTACTTGGAGTGTACTGAGCATGTAGGATAGGATAAAGCTGAACAAAACATACTAAGCAGTAATATAATCTAAACACGATGGAAAATATTGAACTTAATGCAATGACCAAGTACATGACATGCTGAGACTGTATACTAAAATATATTTGAGAACCTGGTCAAATACAATAAAGTTTGACTGTGGGAGCAACTAATAACCGACATAAAACCACATGAGCTAAACGTGGAGTCTGATGTATACGCACCATTAAGAGGACCCAATATACCTTGCCAAGGGTATAGAGGCTTGTCTAGCGTGATCACTAAATGTAATGCCCACGGAGGGGACTTATAAACCTACGGGGCATGTAGTTTTGAGACTATACGGGTATGCTGAACCCTAGTCCACTTGGTCTAAGCCTACTCCCAACTATAAATGTGAGCAATATAACATAACTGAATTATACTAGATATCTTAATGTACTGACATGCTAACTGAGAATGCAACATTTATATTGACAATGAAACATTGGAAATCTGAGGCATGTATATCTGTTTAAACTAGCCTAGCTAGTGTATTTCATGAACTAAACGAATCACACAACTAGGGTTCTAAATTTCATGCAAGGACCTAAGCAACGATGTTACAACAACATGATAATCTAATTTGGAACATTATAATAACTAAATCACAACAATTTCTAAAGTTCAAGAAACCATAGGTCTAGATAATATGAAGGGAATCGACAATCTGACTGAATTCTAGGGACCTAGTGGATGAAAGGAACCCACTAGTGAAATCCCACATACTTAGTGATGAATTCCATTGAGAAATCTTTTGATTTCGAGGCTGGAATTGAGGAAAACTTATTGCGTTCTTAGAGAGGGTTTGGTCGACTATTTCTTTTCCTTGTGCACTGGTTTTTATCGATTTTAGGTGAATTTATCGCTTAGGGTAAGTTCTGATTAAGTTACTAGGCTAAAACTGACCAAAACTACGTTGTTTAGGGGTTAAACAATGTGGTTTAGGGGTCCAACACATAAGGGAAAAGACCAAAATGACCCTAACTTAAAAGTTGTCGGGGCCAACGACGGGCCAGACCGACAGACTGTGGACAGACCGACCATCCGTCGTGGCAGGCCGTAGGTTGGCTTCACAGAAGTGTTGATTGGGGGTCTGAACCACGGCCCTGGACCACAGACCATGGTCCCACCTACGGTCTGTAGGTCCCAGCGTGGCTCTGGACCTTTTTTCTGGAAACCTGAGTGGAGCTGAGGTGGCCAACCACGGACCCTTCCTACGGTCTGTGGGTCAGACCATGAGCCGTGGGTATGTCTCGTCGGTGGCACCTGCAAGTTCTGAAATTTTGCAGACTTGGTCGTTTTCAAATACGGGGTGTTACAATATCATCATATATTATTAAAAGTGGGAATGTCCTAACCTCCAACTTGGATTACCATTATACCCATATACTATATAAATATATCTAATTAATTAAATTTTAATAATATTCTATATATAAATTTTAATGATAATCAATTAAAATGAAAAGTCACTATAGTTGGAAGAATTTCCTACATGTACCCAACATTTAGTATACTCTATTAAATTTTTTGGATATTAATATATCCATTGCTTTGTATATGCTTTCTTCTTCCAACTAAAAATTAGCTGAAAAGTTCTAGACTTGGGTAATGAAGAGTTTTAACATATTGGTGAAGGGTGACGAAGAGTCGTATAGTGTGTTTAAGAGCCAATTAATTCTATAAATGTATCTCAGCTTTCGTTTACCCAAATTTTCAATGCTTTGGTTTATTGCCAGCTTCAATATAGTTCATATTCTTTAATTTCTTTCTGAATCCATTCAATTTCCCTTAATATTATATGAAGTTTTAGATAAAATTCTCCAATTTACTTAATTTTTTTTCCTATTTAAGATCGATCATTTCCAAAAATTGACATTTCTTTTGTTATAAAAGAGAGATTTTGGTGATTTCTTTGGAAAGAGAAGTCGAGTTGATGATGATATTAGTTTTCATTTCATCTCGCCTAATGTCTCTCATATTTGTGCAAGTTTCTTGTATCTTTTCTCATTATCAATTATATTATAATTTGGCTCTGAATCTCTCCTCCCCGTCACTTTCCAAGCGTAGTTGATATAGATACTATAGCTGATTATGGCGGATGATTCAAAAAAAAGCCAAAGACTGCTGAGTTGGGTTTTTTGTTCAAGAAGCGGTTACGATTAGGGAAAATGATAGATTAAAGGGTTAAAGAACAATACTATGGCACATTTTCCAAGTTCATCAAACATAAGAATAGTATAATTTATTTTGAGCTATAATCGGAGGACTTGATAAAAAGAGTACAGCTGACTGCCATACATAACTTTAAAGGAAATATACTCTAAAATCGGCTAGAAGTTAATTGGGTCTAGGGTTCAGAAATATACTCCCAAATGCACACCCAAGTATACGTGATCGAGCAAGTAATATAGTGGTTCTAAAAGATAGTTGGATTATCAAACCCAAAGAGCTTGTCGATTGACTATTTACCTAATTATACTAATTCTAATTATTTATGCAAGTGTGCCACAAGATTTGATTAATATTTGAATACTAAGAATGCAAGTGTCACAATCCAAAAATGGATGTGATGACACTTGTCTATTCCCAATAAGACAAGTCGGCCTCAACCCAACGAAACGAAAGAAAAGCGGAAAGATAAAGCAATAATAAGATAAAAGCAGAAAACTTATTCATTCTATTAACACTCCAAAACCTAGTTGTCATGTGTACAAACCACTAATACATAAAATGCGGAATTAAGAAATAAGTACAAGTCTCAATTTTTTGTTTTTCAAATAGAACAAAGCACAAAAAGAAGAACTAGAGGGCCCACCGGGATGACATGTAGATACCTCTCAACAGTTCTTTGACAAACCTTGAAGATGGGAGAGGAAGTGCAATCACACGATACCAAGATTGAAACCTACACAAGTGTAGAAGCAAAGAGTGAGTACCAACAACACGATACCGAGAAAGCAACATAATAAACAAGGCAACTAGCTAGAATTGAATACTTCTTTCATCCCAACCAAACCTCCTCAAACTACAACCTGCACAGAAATCAACCCAACCTAATAGTTCTACAATACACCACTCACAAGGCTCAATAATCATTGTCCAATAGTTACAATTCAGCAACCAACACATATCAAGTAAGTCAGCCTCAATGTCAAGTAGATCAATCACAAGTAACAAGTGTATCAATCACAGTTAACAAGTAAGTCAAACATTTAAGCATCAAAATGCATCAAACCGCAATAATCAAACTCTCCTCGGGACCATTTCCCATTGACTTTATATCATATCACTAGCTGGAACCATTTCACATCAGCTTTATATCATATCAATAATCGAAACCATTTCCCATCGTCTTTATATCATGTCGCTAGCCGGAACCATTTCCCATCAGCTTTATATCACTAGCCGAAACTATTTCCCATCGGCTTTATATCACTAGACGAAACTATTTCCCATGGGCTTTAAATCATAAGTCTCATCACGGTTTACAACAATCGATGCACATTAGCAAGTTTACACCATAGAAAAGAAACAAAAATTCAAGCAATTTGTCACGACCTAAGCCTACACCTTAGACATAGCCAACACACAATAACTATTGTTGGTATCCAAGCGAACCCTCATCGTGGCTAACCTAAAGTGGAAAACTAATTCGAGCAAAATGGGAACTCCAAATGCACAAATAAACTTTAAAAACTCAATTTGAACTCAACTCCAATAATTGTCTGAAAATAATTTAACAAGTTATAGTTAACTGTCTCATGACCTCCTCAAGACTTTTGTTGAGAGTAACTCATCGATAAGGATCTGGGCTTTTCTTTTCAACTACCTTGAGTATGAGGGGTAGTCGAATGAATCTGAGAAATGCACGAGTTTGAATAAGTTCCTTATGACTTAAGCTCTATTGCACGATTTAGAGTATGAAAGAAGCGAAACTTTTCCTAAATGTTTGTAGTCCCTTATTTATAGAAGTGAGGCCCTTACAACCATAAATAAGATCCTACTTGACACAACTTTATAGACACCCTAGGACACTTGAAACCTGGCTCTAATACCAAGTTTGTCACGACCCGAGCCTACACCTTAGATGTGCCGACACTCAAGAACCATTGTTAGTCCCCAAGCGAACCCTCATCCTGGATGATTACAAACGAAAAACTAACTCGAGAAAAATAGGAACTCCAAATGCACAAATAAACTTTAAAAACTCAATTTGAACTCAACTTCAATAATTGTCTGAAAATAAGTTAACAAGTTATAGTT